AAAAAAAAAATCTGTAAATGCATCTGTAGGTTTTTCAGCCCATCATTTCTTTCAGAATTCCTACACAGATAATAATAGATATTTCCTGGTTGCGCGAAAAAAGTCCCAGAAAGGTTTTATTTACATTTGCCTCAAACATGAAACAGAGAAAAGACAAAGGAAAAAACAATAATTAAAAAAAAATCAGCATCTAAATGCAACATCAGTAACGCGGTACCTGCATCTGTAGGTTTTTCAGCCCATCATTTCTTTCAGAATTCCTACACAGATAATAATAGATATTTCCTGGTTGCGCGAAAAAAGTCCCAGAAAGGTTTTATTTACATTTGCCTCAAACATGAAACAGAGAAAAGACAAAGGAAAAAACAATAATTAAAAAAAAATCAGCATCTAAATGCAACATCAGTAACGCGGTACCTAAGCTCAGTTTGCTGTCCGGCACAGAGACATTCTTTGATCCCTCATCATACTCACCTCTACAGAATACGACATTTCTTCATTGCTGTTGTCATTGATCTTCTCAAACAGTTCTTCACATAGCTGGAAAGAGATTAAACCAGAGTCAGAAATTAGTCTTTACTGTAGCAAGTAACTAGTATGACATGTGATTAAGTTGGCCTTAGAGTAAGGGCAGGGGAAGAAGAAGAACTTGCTACATCAACCACATACAGCCTCACTGGGAAGACATTTAATCTCAATTCTACATCACTGTCATTCAACCTTACTTTATATAGTATCTCAACAATTGTTCTAAGTTTAACCAACATTATTATTCTATATTATAAAATTAGAAAAAGCCTATAATAACTGAAATTGGAAGTAATAATTTTAGAAGACAATTATTAAAATCCTTAATCCTCTCCTAGTCTCATAAAAACAATAATCTGTTTATTCGGTGTCCTGAAGTTCCAGGATTCAGATTTAAAATCAACAGGCAGAATGATTTCAAAATTAACTGTTAACAGTATCTTCTTATGAAGGACACGTTAACTATCAGTGGTCTACTGCTGCAAGAGTGCTTGTCTGCAAGTAATTGAAATGAGACACCTAAAATTAAGATAAATAAAGGAAGCAGAAATGAACAGCAGGCAAGCCATGGATGTGTATCTGGAGATTGAAAAGGATGGGTAGAGAGAAGAGTAAGAGTAGAAAGAGGTTTCTCGAACAGGTATCTACAAGTCACTGTATGAAAAATAAACGTGTTATGAAGAATACAGGCAGTTTTGAAAGCATACACTCTGAAATATTCAGTCAGCACGTGGTTAAAGTATCACAAATGTTCACACCAGGGACTGGCAGACAAGGAATTTTGCCAACACATAAGAATTTAATGTCAACAACCTATATTACTTGGAACACAATTGTGCTATACCTCCTGCGTATGTGACAGGAAAGAGAACAGATTCAACAAGGTCTTCCTGAACAGATAATTCATTTTGTACCTTTCTGAGAAGGCCTCCCAGTGAAATTGGAGGGAAATGATTTTATTTTAAAACTGTAATAAATAACAAGAGCATTATGAAGTTGGGTTTTCTTTAGGACAATGTTTAATTTGAGGTGTCAGAAAAACAAATAGGAGTCTCAAGATTACAACAAAAATTCCTCATTTCAGCCGTCACACTGTTACTTTACATTTCTGTAATAAACACAAGATGCTTAGATTAACAGTTCTGCCCTTCATCACATTAGCTCTTTCAACATTATTTTAAGCTAATCACCAGAACACTTGCAATCTATTTCAGTCCATATGCCCACGCTATTAACAGAGAACAACGCTCTGTGTCATCTACTTCACACCTGTGGCACAGGGCCAACGTCTACTGCAAACCTGCAGCAGAATGAGGACTTGAGCTGTTCAGCATATTTATTTATTAAAACTGAAACCCAGCCTCAGATTTCTATTTTGGGAATGGAGGAACATGCTATCTTCCAACAAACTCAGTCCACTGTCAGCGCCTACAGAGCGAGGAAGGCCTGCACTTAGAAAAGTGCCACATAACCAACAGCTATAGAATGCTAAATTCATGACAACAGCATAAACTGTTGCCAGCCAAAATTTCTTGTGGGGGTATCTCAGCTTCTTCAAATTTCATGGCAAATGTCAAAAACAAACCTCAGGGGGAGGAAATAACACTGGGCTGTGCTCAGTTGCCCTAAATGTTTTCTCTCAATGTTCTGACACATTTCATTTCTTACCAAGATACATTATCAGTTTTTAGCTTTGGGAAACTTGTTTCCACAAAAATTTTCTGGCATGTTCATCAGTTATACCACCTTTGAATACCTGCTGAATACAAAGTGCTTAAGTGCTCTCCTAGCTAAAGTCAGAGAAAGAGACAAGAAACCCAGTGAATAAGACATCTTGATTTACTAGTTTGTTGGGGAAGTGGAGAAATTAGAAGTAGGAAAAAATGTGTGTAGTACAATTAAAAAAACAGTTAACAGAGAGAAAATTACTTAAAAGGCTCTTTTTCCCCAGTAGATTTCTTTCACGAATTAAAAAAACAGTTAACAGAGGGAAAATTACTTATAAGGCTCTTTTTCCCCAGTAGATTTCTTTCACTTCAGAAGTAAGCTGTGGTTCTCTGTTAACTATTATTGCAATATAAAAAGAGGGTATCAGCAAGCATGTGTCTGATCACACTATAAAAAAAAAAATCCCCTTTCTGGGTTCTGTCCTACCTGGGGGATTATGCCTGCTTGGCTCTCCTCCTGCTTGCCCATCATCGTGTAGGATTTCCCAGCTCCAGTCTGTCCATAGGCAAAAATGCAAACATTGTAGCCCTCAAAGGCATGCAGCAACATCTCCTTCCCAATATCATTGTACACACGGCTCTGAGATGCAAAGCAGGGATCTTCAGGCTGAAAAGACATGAAAACACCATAAATCCTATCAGTCAAGTAACATTTCAAAAAGCAAGTGGGTTTTTTTTCTGCTTCTATCTTGTGGGTCAGTCCCTTAGGAAGAGGCAAATGTAGCCCATTTTTCACACAGCTTTTTCCCAAGGCAGTACCAGCTGGACAAGAACAACAATGACAACGCTTGCAGGACCACTCCATCAATGCTGAGGAAACAATGCGCGTAAAGAAACCAACCAACTCTGTTTTGTGAACGCTGTTGACACTGCTGGAAAAGTTTTGTGCAAGATCACCGACACACGAGATTCGGGATGTTTGGGAGGAGGGCGGCAGAGGGAGAATATCCAAAGTGCAGTTCAGACAGTCAATGCAAATGAATAAAGGGCTGGAAGCTACAAAAATCCCACAGTGGCTGGTCTTGACAAGGGCTCTAAAGGGTAGCAGGGGGAAAAGAGAAGCAGAAGTTGCTCAGATTTATTTTGTTGGTATTTTTAAAAGAGTGTAAGCAAATCACTAAAACGATCAAGTTTTTCTGGCAGTTGTCCGATTCCACTGCCCAATTCAATTCAGGGTGCTATTCACAACCTCACTGGTGACTATAAAATCTCCAAGTACATCAATACATATTTCAAATTCGCAATTAGCTGAATCAGTCGGTGACAATGTATCAGAACGTTTTTCTATGCCAAAACTCAAGGTTAGCAATAAAACTGAAATACAACTTTTTTTTTAAAAAAAAAGCTACTTTAAGTAATTTAGCCCTGTGATAAACCAACCAAAAACTCCATTGCCGATGCATCCAGCGCCAGAAATAAGGACAAAGCAAGTTACCACCTTCAAACATGCGACTGAAAAGTTTGTTACATTTTGAAAAGAGGCACTGCTGCACATGCAATGACAAAAAGTCACAAGTTAAAGATGTCTAACAAATCTCAGGGCAAACACAGAACCTGTTCAAAACAAAACTTCATGAATTGTAGAAATTAATTCTCCATTTTTTAAGTAGTGCGTTTCAGGCACTCAGGCACTGTACTGATCAGATTCCAACATCCAGTCTCGAGAGACAATCCAAGATGCAGCTCCAGGCACGTTACAGGATACAACAATACTAACAGAAAGCTGGATTCAGTGCATCTGCTCTTTTGTTTGATATCCTCTCTTGATCATTTAGGAAAGTCTTTGGTAAATACACTTGAAAAAAATTACCGTACTAATGATTACCGACGCAGATGTTTTATGTTGCACAAACCAGAAGAGACTGCACAGATAACGTACCACTGAAATCTGATTTTATAGGAATAAGTCAGTACATTGTATGTGACTATGCATTCTCTCTTCCTGAAACGCTGGATTTTAACAGTACTTGCTCCTGGAATAAGGACAAATTTAGCTGTGCTAACATTCTAACATTGGGATCAAAGTTTTATCAGACTTTTTTTTTTCCTTGATGGTGTTTATCTACTAGTTTTCAGGAATTATGTTCATAATGTTCCTCTGACTGATCCTGTAATCTACTTGCACGGCTGCTCTAGAAGATCCAGTAGAAGAGCTGCACAAATCCAAGTTTTTCGTCATGAAAGCAATCTTGTTGGCCACAGATTTGTTCAGAAATATTAAGTCTTATTTGCACCATCCAAGTTACTAAAATTAGCCTTAGAGAAATGCATTATCCCTTCTTTCTATATCTTTTGAGAAAATAAGGCAGGGGAAGGGTAGATGGCAGAACAACATAGTTCTGTTGTAGAACAATTACTGGAAGCCAGCAAGACCTTAGCACCAATTCGCAGGAGGGTGGGGCAGAGGAGCTAGATGAGAGCTTATTGCTTTTCCAGCTATTGGAAACATGGATCACTACCCTGTCTTTTCCAGATAAGACAAGGGAACCCAGACCACATCCCTCCTTGAACTGCAAGAACTTGAGCCACTTTCACTTGTCTAAGAGCAAAATTGAATTAACTGTGGTTCACAAGCATCCTTAAAACATTTAGAGCAGAACATTGTTGGGGAATATTTTCAGTAATCTTTCAAATATTTACAACTTGCTATCAAACTCCAGGAGCTTAGCTTTTTCCTCTCTCCCAAACAGGAAAAGACAACATACAATGACAAGCTTTTAATCTGAATGATGGTGAGAGAGAGAGTGCAGAAACATCAGACAGGGACAGCATGATCAGAGGAGAATGCAGTTAAATCAAGCCAGTTAACACCACCACCACCAAAACAAACAACAACCACCAAACAAAAACTGCCATGAAACTGCTTTCTTGTAAAAGAACTTACCGATGTGTGGGACCAATAAGAGTAGTCAAAGCTGAAGGACTTTGGTGCTTCCTTAGGATTCTTTGGGTTGATAATACCTACAGGAAATAAAATTCAGACTCTTAGCTGACTTGACATTTAGGAGCTTGCTGACCCTCAACTTAATCTGCGAATGTGAGTATTCACAGAGTTACCACACTGCACACAAGAAATAAGATCGAATAGGCCCATAGCTTCCGAACACTACATTTCTGTAAGCCTTATTTGAAACAAGTCAAGGAAAAAAATTCCTAGAAAGAATGCTGTTCCTAAACAAAATTCTTCTGTTGGACAGAAAGCCAGAAGCAGATCATCCTGGTCCCGTGGCTTTTAGAACAGGACAGGCTTTTAGGAGTTGAAGGATATCAGCAAGAAGGAAGATCCAAAACACAAAGAGCTCAAAAATACTTGGCCATTTCACAGCAGAACAACTCAAGCCTATTTTGAAATGCATGTTGCACAGTACAAGAGCTCATTGCAGAAGGATTTTCTTTAAGAAGCTCAGTATTTTCAGGGCATGAAAAGAGTCGGATCTCCTGACATTTCAGGGATTATCTGCAGAGTTTATTTCAATGTTCTTTTACATGCACAAAGCCTACAGACAGATTTTTAAAAGGACTGACATTAATTGAAGCAACCAAATTACTGGTAAATGTTCTTACTGCACACAGTCACTGAATCCCACAGCGACACCCAGTCAACTTGTGTGCTTTTTCCTCTTCGGAACTTCTGTGTAATACACGATGGCCCCATGATGAGGTTCACACACAGGCACAAAAAGCCACAAGGAAAAAATGCTTGTGTATAGTTCCTATGTTACAGCCTTTAAAAGTCTCATTCAAAAATCAGACCTTCAACTGCCTTTGCAGCTCTGGCAAACCACGACTCAATTTTCTTTCCAAGGTGTTCCTATATAAGAATCTAAGAATCTTCAGGTGAGTTAAGTCATTGAACACTTTATAAATACCAGAATAAACACACTTTGCAAAAAAAAAAAAAACAACAACAAAACAAAAACCTGTTCTCTCTTCATATCAGTACATCTGTAAATCTTATGTTCTTTTCTCAGATCCTCTAATTCTTTCAATAGTTGACTCACACATGTGCATTCCACACAATGAAAGCTCTTCCAGATACCTTTTACGTTGTTGGCTTTGGATTTTTTTTTTCCTTTCACAGCAAGAAAACAGCTTCCTATAACCTTTGCCTGGTGGGGGGGAGTAATATACCATGGATTCAGCCGTCATTTTAACGGCATACAGAACGTCGGTAGTTTTTGTATTCCAAGCAGGGTAATTTATAAGCACAGCTCTTGCTGCAGAAGAGAATCTCTGCTGTGGACTACAGTGATGGCAATACTTAAATCTATTATTTCCAGCAGCTCTTTTCAACACCATCTGTGTAAGGACAGACTGTAAAAAGGCATACTCTTGAGGGTATCAAAATTAGATAAACCACCTTAGATTTACACATACCCATCTGCACCTAAAGCAGCAATCTGCCTTTGAGAGCAACACACTAATTATGACATGTGCAAACAAAATCTACAAAGAAGCTATACGAAGGTGGTGACAGTCCTCCTGAAGATGATTTACATCCTAATACCAGCCATCCTAAACAAAGGATGCTTATTTCCCACATACTCATGCCAGTCAGGCTATGCTCTGGGAGATGGGGACTCCTCCCTTTCCTTATTTGACAAATAAAAATCATAATACCCACATCTCTTACCATTTCAAACACGAACCTAACATCACGTTGCACTGAAATCTCTGAAAATGTGGTACAGAATCCCCATTAAAATCAAATCACTCCTCTACCAGATGCGGTGTTCCTGAGCAGGGCTGCTGTCCAAAATTACAGTGTGGAGAAAAGTGACTGTCTGGACTGCAAATAGCAACAGTTGCTACCCTGTTTCGTGTGGCCAATTCCATTTCACTTGGACGCACCTTGTGCTGACATTCTTGCTGACAGACATGCAAAGCCAATGAATAATGTGCCTTGTACAGCATCAAATGGCAAAAATTCTTGTGGCTTTGGATAGCACCGTGGGCATCAATACATAAACTGGTAACCCAAGCCATCATATATGGCTTTAGTTTCCCTTTACTAGTTTCAACCACACCGCAGTACATCTACAGCAGGCACTATTAAACCAGTTCTAAAGGTAAAGTGAACAAATAACAAATCCCAGAAAACAACTCCCCTGCCCTAAAATTAATACAGTTCTCTCCTTTCAGTGTACTCCAGACTGCTGCAATTCAACAACTTCCCATTTCTCATTCATCATTTAACATCAAGGCTCTGGAAGGTAAGGAGGAAGTAATACCTTGTACCTGGACGCTCATACCCAAAAGAGCAGTGCAAATAAAACCCAATCTCCACATTAGTTCAATGCAATAACCTTTGGGGGTAAACAACATTGTTGAGTTTCAACAAATTGAAAACAATCGTTTGGGGCTATAAGTCAAGGGAAAGTATTCTAATCATTAAAAACAGAAAAAAAGCAGCAATAAATAAACCCCATTCCTATGTACTGTATAACACAATTCTAAGCAGATACACGAAAAAATACATTGCCAGCACCTCTCCTGACAATATGCTTACTCTCAACAGTAAATCACCTCAACCCAAACTCTCAATACTACTCCAGTGAGAGGAGTCACGGCTAGGGAAAGGCAGGAGCAACTACTTTTATTGGAACCTCGCATTTGCATCATCGTCGTGGAAACGGGAAACTCCTAGCCTGGCCAACTGTGAAAGCAACCAATACAAGCAGAAGCCTAGCTACATCTTTGCTGACCAAGAAAGACACTTTTAACCACAATCTACAAACATGCAGTGGTTACCTGAATGTCACGTTGGTGCAGTTTTACTTTAAATGCAAATGTAATCTCAAAAGAGCTTTGATCTCACATATTTACCTCATGGCATGATTTATTTGTCTCCTCTTAGAATCAACAGTGAAATAGCAAGTATTCATCAGGTTTCTTCCATTTTTCTACTGCTGTATAAGCCAAAAGGACACTTCTCTTGGCCAAAGCAAAGCTGCTCTTGGCCTCTCCAAGAAAACAAGTTAAATTGCCTTCTAAGATTCTACTGTGTCAGAAACAGAAAAAGTAGCACAAATTTCAGTATTATACAAAACCAGGTTTCAAGTGAAAATACACACTTCCCTTTAACTGTTTCTAAAAAACCTAAAAGTCTCTAGGAGGAGTCTACTGCTTTCAGAAAAAAAGCAGAGAAGCCAAATGTTTAATCAGAAGAATAGCTATTTTTTCCACTCAGCTCGCTGTGCATAAAGGCACATTGGCCACCCTGAAAGACAAGCTCTCTAGCTACGCAACAGGCTTAGTGTCTGGAAAGGCACTGCAAGCTTGCCATTACAGCTGCATCCTACTTGCTTCAAGCTTTAATTTGATCCATCACATTTGTGAATAGTGAGTTCAGGCTCCACGATTTGTGCAAGGGATTCCACCCACCCCTTTTTCTTTTTTAAAGTCATTTTTAATTACCATTATTATTTTCCTAGACAGGCTTTTCTCAGCTCCTTCACACTAAGTTCATGTCAGCTCACTATTTTGATAACTATTTTCTAGGATGCGTGTTTTTGCAAAGCATATCTTGAGAAGCATATCAGGATAGTGGGATTAACGTGCAAGAAGGCAGCTCTGTCAGAGGTTGGGAATGCAGCTGCCTGGCCAAAATCTTCCACTGCAGCAGGAACGGGTCAGAGAAAACCTCCTGGCTGCCAGGAACTCTGCATGCTCTCCCTCACTACCGTGATCCAGCCACAGCCTTTTCACAGAGCTGCTAGTCCAAGCCTGAAGTATATTTATCCCCATTCCTGTTTCTTACACAGAGTCTACATCCTCCAGTTTCAGAATCACTCGTTTAATAAAATTCTCAGTCTGTCTACAAATGAATCCAGCAGAAGGGACTGATTGAGAAAATATAAGATTACAACCTCAATGGATCTCAACTGGACTGAAGCCCTCATTCGGAACGCTGAGCGCCAAGTGGGCAGCTACTAGCATCAGTCAGGTCTGATGTGGTCCGAGAGCGAACCAAGTGACCAGGTACGCAATAATCTGAGGTAAGAAACCTGAAAGAAGATGGTGAGGCAGCTAAGAAACCAGGAATTCAAACTGAAGTAACTGACCTAACTTGAAGGTGTCTGCTGCACCAAGCAGCTTCTTTGGAAGGACAAGCAAATCCATGAAATCTAGCTATTTTTAAAAGAAGCTAACGGATAGTTCTGAAGACATTAAAAGGCTTCTTATAGTACAGGTAAGCTTTATCCTAAAAGTTCATATGCTAAATTGGGAAAAAAAAAAAAAGGAATGATCATGCAGAAATTAGACTGAGTGGCGACACTGATTTTATGTACCATGTTATTCAGCAAGCTGTGTTTTCAGATGAACAAGGAAACATAGAATTCAAAATGTAAAGAGGACCGTTTCCAGTGTCTCCAACACGCACAAGAACACTAAAAGCTTTTCAGTTATATTGTTTTTTAAACCATACAAGGCCGAGATGAATTGTATTACTGAATCATGAAATAGGTCGTCATCTATCTCCTCTCACCACAGCAGACTCGAGGCATAGTACGCAAGCTAATGCTTTAATTACAGAGCCTCAGGAAATGAGAAAGGCAGTAAGGCAGACGATCACAGCAGGAACACATTAATGGCCTTTTTATCTTACAGAACAAATTTGTTTATCTGCTATTTCAAAGGTCCAATGTGGCAATTAACTCTTCTGTTTGCAAACTGACACTAACGCTTTGTGCTGCAGTTATAATTAGTTACCATCAGCATGGCACCGTAGCAACTTTGAATGTTGGAGTTAGCCTAAGCAGCCAGTTTCTGAGAAACTCAATCCCTTTTTCAGGCCCCTTGCTTCACCAAGAGCCAACTTCTTAGGTCATGTGGAATCTTTCAGCTTTCCGCAAGTTAAGTTTTCTGCATCCAACAAAAACCGCAAGGGGCACTTTGTAAAAAGTCACCATCTCCTATACCACTGCTGCTGAAAAAGGGTACACACAGCTCAGATGTGG